TATACATACATATGCACATATGCATATATGTATATATGAATCTCTTGTTTAAAACAGAGAAGGAGGAAGAAGTCAGACATTCTCCAAATTTTCGTGCAGACTTCAACTTTTAGAGGCTCAAGTATAAACTGCCACATTTCTATCAGCAGAATTCGTGTGTTTCCCGTAAGACTTCTTTGTTTTCCTCTTCGGTGGCTAATACTGTCTGTGGACGTCTGGAGTGGAATGTGAGGCAGTCGGTAGGTAACTAGGGTTCTCACCCAGGAAGACATTTGGCACGATGATCATTTGTGAAAGAGTACTAGTTCTGCTTTTATTCCAAATAATAACTGGCAGATGGTAAGGAATTAAAATATTTAGGAGTAATTTCTATCATTGGCCTTTTAAAATTCTTTATCTAAGCTTGTGACTTTATATGAGGTCATTTATCTTCATGAAAGCATTATGGTTTTAGGCCATTTAGTGAAAGTTCTGCCTGAATCTGGTCTTCCTGGTGAAATCAGAAAAGTTCACAAATATAGGTTAAGGTGGTAACTTTGCCTTTCTTTTAACCAATGCTGGAGGCAAAGAATGCATTCATTCATCTTTTGGGGGATAGGTACTCACACTTCAGATGGTACTTAGGTAAATTCCTGACACCTTTCAAAAGTAGAAGTTTGATGTTAAATTGAATACCCTGTTTTTGGTTTTTAAATAGATGAATGTGTAACTAGGTTCTTAGTTCTCCCAGAAAAATTCAAGTTTGCAGCAAGAAAACCTCTACAAATTGTTTGATTGTACTGTTTACCTAATTGAGGCCAAGGTATCTCAGATCAAAATCCTTAGCTGGCCAGGCACAGTGGTTCATGCCTGTAATCCTAGCTACTCAGGAGGCTGAGATCTAGGATCTCCTTTCAAAGCCACCCTGGACAGGAAAGTCCTTGTGAGACTCTTATCTCCAAATAACCAACAGAAATCTGGAAGTGGTGCCGTGGCTCGAACTAACTTTGAGCACTAACCTTGAGCACAAAGCATCTCAGGGTCAGTGCCCAGCCCCTGAGTTCAAGACCCAGGACTTACCAAAAAAAAAAATCCTTAGGGCTTTACTCTCATGTTTCTTTCCATTCTGGAACTGTCTCTCGCGTTTGAAATTCTGTAAACAAATACTTGTTTTCATAGGTTTACCTTCTTCCTAATATATATCAATTTGGCGCATCTGTTTAGCTGTTCCTATGTGATTCTTATCTTCCCACAGCTGTGTTGGTTTACAGAGAGATTGGAAGTTTGCAACCTCCCTTAAACATCAGACTTTGCCTTAATTTGCCTAGGGTGCTGTGTCATAGATACAACGCTTTAAAGCTCCACAGGTGATTCTGATATGTCAGCCAGGATGAAAACCCACGTGCTGTAGTAGGACTACGTGTGAAATTTTCTCTACTGCAGTTGCCCGGACTTTGAAGTGAGAGACTTGATCTAAATTTATACATGAATTCCAATTGAACTCCACCTATAGAATACAACACACAAAATATTCTGTAGAGCACTCGGTAAGATCCAGATCTCAAGACCAAAATTTCTTACTCGAGGAGAACACAGCATACTATGAGAATATCAGGCAATAAAAACCTAGCGCAGCATTGCCATGACATAGTTAAGGCCACAAGGAAGTTAACAATAGCAGCAAAAATACAGAGAGGGTGAGGGGATTGATTTCAGAAATCAGGAAGCACGAAGGATGACTGGGAGCCTCAAAATGGATCACGTACAGAATTTTCAGTAAGATTAGATAGTTTTGACAGAAAGGAAAGGGAACTGGCAGGGAGCAAGAAGGGGAGAATCTGTTGTGAAAGGACATGAAACAGGAGGAGGTGGGAATGAGTGAATCCCATTAGGACGTGGTTTGCACAGCATGTAAGAAACAACTGCAGAAGTATGCTCTGAAGGTGGAAAGGATGACGAGAGCGCCCGCGGCCAGAGGCTGCAGGCGCTGAATGCTGATGGATGGGCAGGGCACTGAAGAGCTCCGAGCACAGAAGTAATCTACACAGATACATGCTTAAAAAGATGGATTTTCCTAAGGACCCGGAAGCTTTCAAAAATGTGTTTGTACATACTGTGACTTGTGTTATACGGATGCTCTTTCTGTCAATAGTCATTGTATTCATCCTAAATTAGATGTCAATTTTAATATAATGAGACTAACAAAACAAAAAATGAGGGGCTATCATAGGAAGGCGGACAGGAGATTAATAGGGTGAATTTAAAGTGTATTATACGTATATATAGTAATATTACAACAAAATACCATTTATAACTTTTATATGTTAAAATTCCTTAAAGATCTCAAGGAACATAAATATGGCCATTCTCAGAGAAATAGATTTCTATCTGTATATCTATATCTATTTGTCTGTCTATCTACTTACCTACCTACCTACCTACCTACCTACCTTCCTACCTACCTATCAGCCTATCTTTCCTTTGTCATTTGTCTATCTACTTATCGTTTAACTGACAAGAACTTAAGGCAGTGGTACCAAAAGAAAGGTAAGACAACCAAGGTGATTCTCTGTCTTGCACAGTGTAACTTGAAGTGCAAGACATGTTACCCAGGCAGGTTTTCTACCCTACATTCTCTCTGACTAATGTGTGCACCTTTTGCTGCTAAGAAGGCTGCAGCAAACGAATTGGCATGGTGTCATAACTCTTTAGGCAGGAAGTCTTTGCTCCAGTCAGTTCAACTTAGCCAACGGGTCTGTAATCCGCTCCACCATGGATGACCTCAGCAGGTAAAATCTGTGCCATGTTCTATACTATGGGAATCCTTTATTTGTTTAGATCCATATTAAATGAATGTTTTAAGTATTTTATTGTAGTTTGTGAATGACATAATTAATACATGAAAAATTCACTTGCATTTCTCTTTCTTTTAAGTTTGATTCTACAACTTTGCATTTATTTGCAACATTCAAGAGAGAAGTAGAGGATAGTAAAGAGTTAAGACACTGCTGCAGATGTTTAAAACTTAAAATATACTGTTTGGGGACTAGCCACACAATTTAACATTTGTCTTTGCCAATAGCACGTAATGGTACTTTATAAAATTATAGGCTTATTGTATGGCTCACATACTGATGCTTCATGTTTAACCAGATTCTGGATGTTCTGTAGACAGATTCAAATCTTCTAATTAGGTTACATGCTTTCAAATTTGATTGAAGAACATGACAAAACACAACAAAATGATTAAGTCAATTCTCAAGGCAGGGACTTCTAGTTCCAGATAAGATGGAGTAAATGTAATCCATTTTACTTCTGCCACTAATTATAATAGGTTATGCCCAAATATTGAAGTCGTAACAAAAGACAAAAAGGTAGGACAAAGAAAGTGGTTTTGTTTTTGTTTCTTTTGGCTGGAGGGGGCAGTTTATCAGGGCTTCAGAAATAATATGACAGTGATGTCAACTTTTATCTTCTCTTTGTCCAAACTCGGATTCTAACAATGCTCGCAAAGCAACAATATGCCAACAACAGAAACACTCTCCAAAGTTGGGGACATGGGGCTCAGTGGAATATAAATCTGCTTTTTCTGGGATTGAGTAGCACTAGAGGTGGTGCAGAAAGGAGTCAGTAAGAAGCATGTCCTTCCAATACAGCTCATGGGCAGAAACCTGTCCTCCACTCCTGTCCTATGTCAGGAAACACAGGGCACCCTGTTCATCAGGTCTGTGTTCAACCTGAGTTCAGTGCCCACTGCCCAGAAAGATAATGGGCGCACCTCAGTCCTATGGCAGCTACCATGGGATTCCTGACCTCCCCCAGCAATAGCCACAGAGCCACTATCCATAGCGAAAGCTTTGGGGGAAAGATGTGGAAGTGAAGATGTAACTTGAGGGAAATTCTTGGTGCTTGATGGAATGTTTCTATATGATGAGCATGGTGATGGCTCCTCTATTTCATACTTAAGATATAACTTCATAGAAATATTTACCTTCCACAATAGAAAGTAAGTAAGAGTCTGGATAAATAGAAATAAGTACTACAGCTGAGCTAAAAGTATTATAATAAGATCAATTTCCTGTAGAAAGTGTATGTATTATATAATAGCATGTTAGTTATTCACTCCTAACTCATTTTCAGTGCTTTTAATCTGAACACCTGGTCACTAAAAAAATATTATATGTGATCAATGAGATCCTTCTTTTAAAAGACTTCTCGTTTTGCAACTGAAGTAGATTTTTCTCATACAATTACAAAACTAACTGCAACTGAAGAATGAGGATTTTCTCTTAATTCTGACATTTAATGTTCTTAGTCCAAGGAAAGCAACTTCTGAAAAGTTATTCTTCACCCATGAAAACGTTCCTTACGCTCTACCTGAGTGTAGCCACAATGAGAGAACTCTAGAGAGTAAGCACAGCGGGGTGGGGCATAAGGAGGGGCTGGATGGCAGAAGCAAAGGGTTTATACAGCAGTGTTTGAAAGTGAGTAGAGAACAGGAACAATCAGAACTATACACAATGTCAACACTGTGCCTAAGGAATAGAAAGATTGCTCGGTTAATGTCATGACTTCAATGGTAGATTTCTCCTTTTCAAGGGGCACAGCCAAAGACGGGGCAGGCAGTTAACTGTCCTGCCTCCGACCACAGTGGATCCAACGGGACCCAGGCTTTCCATGAAATGTCTTTGTTGCCACAGTCAAGTTAGACATTGTTGCCCCTTAAATCTCTGTTCCTCAGCCAGCAGTGGCTGAACACAGCAGTGGCCACATGGTGGGATGGATTATCCCCTCCCCGCCTGGGAGAGGGGTTTTCAGGACAACGTGTAGTGGCGCAGCAAGGCTCACTGCGCTTTTCGGGAGTCTGTTGAGTCAAATTTCTTTTCTGAGTAGTTTCAAGAAATCCAACAACTTTCAATTATGGAATGAATGTGCCAAGTGACCAAGATTCTAATCCTGTCTGTAGTGCGTCTAGTTCGAAGACAGCATCCTTAACAAGTTTTCCTCCTGAATTTACTTACTTTCTTCTTTCCGTCTCAAATCTATGGAGCAGTTTTCGAAGACCACCATTCTTAAACCCCTGGAAGTGGGCTGCAGGGGCTCCCACGGTGACAACATCGTAGATGGCATCTGGAACGGGATGGACAAGGAGATGAGCACTCGGCAGACATCCGTCTCCCCCTCACCGGGTGCACTCAGGCACCCAGCCTGGGCGAAGGCTGAGCAATGGTTCTGCTTAAATCTGTAGGAAAAACTATGAACTCTCATCTCAAGGGGGCAAGGGACGTTAATCAATCTTTTTACAGGCCACCTGTGCACCTAAACGAGTTATCATATTTCCCTGATTTATGACAGTATCTTAATTATATGCTACTGTGGAGAACAGCATGTTCCCCCATTCCTCAATATACTTACTGAGATAACATGCTAATTGGTCTTTTGTGTATTTTACCTTATTGAGTTTTGCATCATTTAATTTGCAATCATATTGAAATTCAACAATAATGAACAATCTTTCAACCACATTTTACCGAGACAAGAATGAAAATAATAACGCACGGTGACTCAAGGGAAAAATGGTAAAAGTGCCTTTTAAAAATCCTACCCTCACTTCCTGCTTGTGTCTACTAAATCTTGCACAATTGCAAACACATAGTGTTGCAAGGACCTGATATAACATGGGGAGAATCTACACAAAAGTTCCTCTGGTCTATCTTTTAGCTGGATACTTCCTTGTTGTTCATTTAAAATTAAAACAATCCATACATATAAATTGCAAATAGAATCCTTTGTTCTTAAAAAGCCATCCCGTTTGGTACATATTAAGTTTATAGCTTCAAACTCTGCTACCCACAGTCTGATAGAAAGTATCTACACAAGGAGGGCAAGGAATGCCTTCTGGTGAAACTATGTTTTCTTAGAGAAATTTAATTTCATACTAGATCCTGTTCAAATTGATTTTGGTATTAACACATAGGTGTTTTCATATTTCATTTAATAAGAAGACATAAATTATTTTATCAACCTTGGGTAAGCACCAAACCTTTTTCAGAACTGTTCACCCCAAATAAATTTGATTTTTTTCTTAATTTAAAAATATCTCTTCAATGGAAAGACATGAATAGCACTCTAGAGGTTTAAGGTCAGAAGAAAAACCAGAATAAAACCCAAACCAACCTACCATAGACATACGCTGAAAGATGACTGGATCCTTCTCTTTCTAACCAAATAGAAGTGACCCTCCATAGAAGAATGGCTGACGTAAGACACTGAAGTACTACCTACTCCAGGGAATTACATATATGACTAAGATAAAAGCACAAGATTCCTACAGATGTTAGCAGTTGTGCCCATTCATCTGTTTTGCTTCTGGAGACAGGTGTAGCTTTTCTCAGAGTCATGAGATTACCTGGAGTTACCACCAGTAAATTCTAGCCTAATGAGAAACCAGAGAACTATGAGCAGTTGTCTGCTTTGTCTGTGATTCCAAGGCCTTAATACCGAAATTGTCTGACTTCTTCCCGGGGTGGCAGCCCGTGTTTGGTGGAAGGCTTACGTGACCAGCTACAACCTGAGTCCCCGGTGTTGGATCCCATCTCTGCTCTATTGCCTATGTCTCCACCTACTCATCTACAAAAATGAAGTCAAGAGTGAAGTGAGAATCATCTAGTAAATATTATCTGTCTGCGTTTTCTCTATAAGAAACAATCCCACCAATTGAAAGGAAGTGATATTTCAACATTTCTTCATTTCCACATAAAAATATTAAGGAGTTAAAGGAGAACAGAGGCTCAGTCCTCTCTCTCTGAGTAAGATCAGTTCCTGTATTAATTTACACTCGTTGCATAATGACAGATCTCCATGTCACCCCAACCCAGTGGACCGCATCCCGGCCACACCTGGAGGCCGGCTATACCAACAACTCCCAAGGGCACCAAAGGCTCCCGCTCAGTCTGCCAAAGAAAGGAAGTCCCGCCCCTTTTGACAGCCCGGCTGAGCCTGGAGGACACTGTGCTAAGAGAAATGAGCCAGACAGAGACAACGCTTCCCTCCCTGTGCATCTTTAAGTACTGTGAAATAGTCTGAGAGAAACAGGGCCTGCCAGCGTGGGGAGGACAGAGGCGTTAATTCTTATTCACTGGGTATGAAATTTCAGTTATGCAAGATTACATTTTAGAAAGCTGGCGACCCATGGTACCTTTCCCATGGCACATTTCCAACATTGTCAGAAGTGAGAGCTCCTGTTCCGGACTCTGCCGGCAACTACAGGGGCCAAAGGGCACAAGCGGACATGCAGATGTGAAAGATATATTTACTGCCTTTACCTTCCTGGTGGTGGTTTAAATGCGTCAGATATATATGTATATGTGTATGTGTGTGTATATGTTGCACTGGTGGCTAGTACTGTGTTTACTTAGCATCTACTCACTAATAAAAAAAATGTCTGCAATATAATAAGTGGTGCCAAGTCTGTGTTTCATGTATAAGTCTAGCAGCTCCTACGCTACAGACGTCCTTTGTATTTTGAAGTTTTAGGTATTTTTAACTACATTTTTACCTTCTCAAGACACAAGATGATTCACATTCATTTACCTTTCTCCTTGGCCAACCCTGAAATCAATAAACCTTTCAAGCTGCTGTTGGGGAGGAGAGCTTACAGATCAAGCCCCAGGGCAAGTTGTGCTCTCTGTAGCAGAGTTGTCACTTTTTCCCCTTGGTTTTTCTGTATTACCTTTAGGTTCAGCCCGTCTGGCTCTGAGGCACCCTTTAGAGAGTTTGGGCCTTTCTATGCGTATTCCACTGTTCTGGAGTCTGGGTTTCAATAGGGTTTCACATTTCAAGCATTCAAAAAGTTTCTTCGAAGGTTAAAACTTTTTACTTTGACAGCCAGAGTGGTTCTGAAGGAAGCAAGTGGAAAGTAGCTACTGCGTGTCTCTCTCAGAAGCGACATGACTTTAACCCAAAGGAAATGGTTTTTTTCCCCAGCTACGGGTATGTGTTCTTTGTCTCAATCTGAAGAAAGAACATTCTGGATACAGTTGTGAAATCTTAAGTTAAGGAGAGGCTCCCCCTCACTTTTAAAATCAATCAGAAAAATTTTATAAACAACTGCTTTTCTACTGAAATCATGTTCATTATTTTAGAGTCATAATATTGTGCAGTTGCCATTTGAGAATGTCAATTATTGATATCTCCAGGCTAGAATAATTAAGTTTCTCTTTGGCCTTGCATTTCACTTTCAACTACTAGAAAAAAAATAGTAGATTGATCTATGTAGGCAGTTTGTTTCCAGGTCTAGTTTCTGAAAAATAGAAGATACCTTTACTTCATAGTACGCCACCTTATTTCTTAGTTGAACAAGCTGTCCTCCTTTAAAATTAAAATTACCTGCAAATGGATTGTTTTTCTGTAGAATACACTGGATAAATAAAAGTCAATGAGAAAACAAAAGGCATCAGGTGCTGGTGGTTTACGACTATACTCCTAGCTACTCTGGAGGCTGAGATCTGAGGACCTGTGGGTTCAAGCTATCCCAGGCAGAAACTACTAAGGAAAAGCCAGAAGTGGAGCTGTGGCTCTACTCTGTGGTACCAAAGAAACAACAATAAAAATCACAGTGGGAGATTTTACAGAAGACTTAAGAAAAAAAAACCTGCAAGGCCCTTTGTCTTCCTAAGAAAACAATGAAAGCCTGCAGATCTTGCTTCACTGACATTTTATAGTATTTCTAAAACGCCTGTGTCTTTGTGATGGTGGCATGGCATTTTATGCATAGAGAGGTGGAATTTAAGTCAATGCACCTCAAGAAGCTAAAGAGACCAGGTTGGTTTGAGATTACACAATAGAATTCCTTTGTGGCCTTTGAAAAGTCATCTAATAATAGAAATGAGATACCAATTTTTTCCAGAAGGTCTGGTTAAAATTCTTCCAACTATAAAATAGTGCTCATCTCTAGGACCAAGTTAAAAATAATCCCTCACTTAAATGAAATGCGCAAGTCCTTTGACAGGTATCATATGGCTTTAAGGACTTAAGGGAATCCTGCTTCAAAATAGAACAAGCAATTTAGCATCATCCTCGAACTAATCTGAAAGTAACTATGCTTCACTGGTAGACCCAAACTCCTAAGATACAGAATTCAGGGCCCTCTAGGAGGCCCTTAGTGTAGAGATCGGAAGATGAAGAGGTAGAGGCTAGGCACCACCCACAGATACACAATAACTATCTGGTGTTGAACATGATTCCAACTGTAACTATGATAGTGTCATTATATACCAGTTAAGGCTCTTGACACAACAACAAAGAAACAAATGAAAGGAACAATGATGTATGTGTGGTTGTGCTAGTGCTTAGGAACTGTACTTCATTCCAATAGGCGCTCACCTTGTGAAAGAAAATCAAACAAACTAGTAAGTGAACAGTCATGAGATACCTTTGATCACTGCCCTTCCTCCCAGCTGTCCATCTCTCCTCTCTTTCTGTGTATTGCTTTTCATTGCATCTGATTTTCCTTTCTATGGAAAAGATGACCAGTGTTTGATTCCTTAAGAATGCAGTGAGAGTTAAACTCAAGAGCAAAGATCATCTTTGAATCCTTCCAAATAACCTGCATGAAACTCAATAGACTCATCTGGAGTCAAGCATTCACCAGAGTGTCTATCTGTCTGTCTGTCTCTCTCTCTCTTTCTTTCCCTCTCTCTTGCATATACCATATATGTTAGGCATTGTGATTGACCAATAGGCCACAGATTCACAATGTAAAATTACAGGCATTTATAGAGCACTGATATTTACTGCTAGTCCTTTATTAAGGAGAATTTCATAAAAGTTTTAATTTTATACATAACAGCAGGTCTATTAAGAGTATTTTGCTAAACTAAACTGTTACTAGCTATAAGCCAATACTAATGTATTACTTCTCAGAAAAAATTGTGCTAATATAAATTAATTGTATTTTAAAAGTACATTAAATGAAATGTACCTAAAACATATGAAAGAATTAAAACCGAATAGTGAAGTATTCTTGGGAGCTGTATTTGCCAACAGGCAAGGAAAACCTATTGAAGGACATCGGAGAAACATTTTCACCTTGTCATCTGGGGCTTTTGTTCTTGTTGGCGTCACCACGGCTGTGCAGGAATTGTGTTGTGGTGCATGTTCTATTTGTTGCAATTAATTTAAGTAATGAATAGGGATGAAAAATTAGCTTAATGGTGTGGGGGCATCCGAAGTTAACTGCAGGTTACTTTGCTTGTCAGGATGAGACATCGCAATATTAGTTCTGCTCAGTGGCTTGTTTCTAAAGCTAGACATTAGCCTCGTGCCCAGAGAATTTGCCTACTGCTACCTGGGTTGCTGACTCTTCAGGTACAGCAGGATTATTAATCAAACATAGATAAGCATGATTCACTCAAGGTAAGGATGAACAGAAGTGGGAGACTATATCCAAATAACTCACCAGTGAAATACCAAGGCTTAGCCAACCCAAAATGCCTCATCACCTTACAAAACACTGAACATTCACAAGTCAGTATCCATGAATCTCAAATATATTTATCTCCAATTCAAAATCCACTCCATATGTTATATAAATAAGTAGAAAAATTAAAATTTGGGTCACTGCCACCTATTTCAATTTCCAATATTTTTATTTATAAATAAGAAAACTGATGTTCAAATATATCAAACAACTTGGTCATGGCAAAAGGACCTTCAGATTTGGTGACAATTTTCAACCATTATTACTAGATGTAATAAGAACATATATATATACATATATACACACATATATAATGTGAGCTTGATTTTCAAAATAATATTTAAACTTAATTATACAAATAAGCTTGATGATTTAATATTTTGTATATAATAGGTGTGTAGATAATATTACATATAATATGCATATGGGTATTCATGTTACAAACATGAATATATATTATATATATTATAAACATGCATATATTTAATATGTAAATCATTTTAGAAAGAAATCAGTGTATAATTCAGTACTTTAACCACTGAGTTGGCTCTTAGGATATCTAGCCCATTGGGAGAGAATATGGGATATTGTTTTGAAGAGAACAATTATCTTTCTGTTAACAACTTTCTCAAAAATCCTCTCATTTATGGGTTGTCTCCTAGATTTATGATAATAAACTCCTGCTTTTCTCAGTATTGTTTGATATTTGCTATCAGTTTTCTATGTCCTTTAAAAAGATATCCAGAATGGAGCTGCTTTTAAAAAGGGGTTCTTCATAGATGCAATCAAAGTGAAATCAAGTCATTGTTAATGTGGCTGCTAATTCTATCTGACCAGTTTTCTTGAAGGAGAAACTTAGATGAACACACAGACAGAAGATGGAGGAAGACACAGAAGCACCCTTGGTAAAGCTGGAGGGCAGGGGAGATTCATCATCAAGGTCAGCAAAGCCAAGAACTGACAACAGCCACCAGAAAGCCATAGCAGTTGAGGATTTCCACCGATGCTCCAGAGTGAATGTGGTCTTGCTGACCTTTGACTTAAAGGTATCATTCGTCCAGAATTGTAAGTGACTATATCTTGGTTATTTAAGTGCCTGAGTGTGGGGCCTTGTTACAGTAGCCATAAAAAACTGATACTCATTCCAAAACAAATTAGTTAGGGTGAACTTTTTTTTTGCATTTCTAAAGATCTTTATTTTAGTTCCCACTTTCCCTTTTCAAATAAGTCAGAAGCTGAACACTTTGTTTTCATCCTACTTATTCTAGACACTTTTTCAGAAAACATCTGGGAAAACAGCCCAAGAGAGAAACATGAAGTAAAGGATTCTGCATTGTGGACGTATGTTAGGAATCATTCCCAAATACGTGAATGTGCAGTGAAATATCAATTCCTATCAATTCAGCCCACGAAGCAGAGAAGCAGCAACGGAGGCACCATAGTTGTTTCCTCATCACCAGCTCTCGGGTGTCATCTCTGTCCCTACACAACTCTTTACCTTTTGAGATCTGCCAAGAGTTACATCTGTTTATAAAGTGCACAATGCAATGTAACAGGGAAATCCAAAGTGAGTAATATCTCATACCTTTCAAGTGAGGGCTATGTACATGCATTCTTTGTAGATGTAGATTTACTGGGACAAATTCTAATGTTTTCTCTCCTTTGCTGCTGCTTGATTTGAAAGAGGACCCTAGAAGAAAAAAAAAGTTTGATTATTAGTCAATAATTAAACAAGAAGTCTTGTCATGTGGAGAGACACCTTTGGTAGAGAAATGTTATAAAGAACTTCAGAAAGAGAAATATATTCTGTGTTTATGAGATGTCCTCTCAGAATTTCAATTTAGAAAAAAATTCCAATTATTCTTACAAGACTCTGAAGTAGAACAACAGCTTTTTCTCTCTCTCTTATTTTAACTATCAGCAAAATGGAGTAGGAACTTATTAATTTTTTAAAAAATCTTTGGCTGTCTCATCTCCATTGCGTAGTGCAATGGTTTCCCCAGGCATGAGAGAAGAAACAATTTCGTTCATCTGCTTTAGTGAAATTCCTGTTTCATACCTGCCTCCTTGCTCAGTTCCGTCAGAATGTCTTGGTATAAATTCACCATCTGGTCACAGTGAGTAAGGACATTTTTCCGTAGATTGTCCCAGTGTGGAGAAAGTTCGCCAAGTTCTTTTATCTCCTGATTTCTGTAAAGATTACAAGAGAGGAGAAAATCTTTGTCCTACATCTATAGACATGGAACTTTTAGTTCAGTTACCAAGCCAATGAGGATTGTTTAAAGAGATTCCACAGCAAAGTGTTGAAGTATCCTAGCTTGAAAGATTAAAAAAATCATTTTAACACAGAGGCAAAATAGCAATTCAGAAATATTAAACACTTTAAGGGAAGAAATGGTTAAATTTCCTGATGAAATGATCACAAAGATGGCAGACTTATTATCCTTAATATGTAGAGAAAAATTACATTAAAAAAGCAAATAAAAATGCCTCACTATAAAGATAGGTAAGTTCTAGATTCAGTTTTCCAAATCAGAGAACATAAGAAGGGTCTTTTGCCTATATTGAAAGAAGACACCCAGTGCACAGCTATATATATAATATACCTGTGTGGGGTTTTTTTTGCAGATCAAATAGTAAATAGAGGTATTTTCAGGTATGATTTTCTTGGCACTAGTTTATCCCAGAGCACACATAAATACCCTTTGCATAACTGTTGTCTCCTCTTTATCAAAAGGAAGAACTGATCATACCATTTAGGTTTTAATTATCACCTTTTCTCCAAATCTCTATCCTTTAGCCAAGTTAATTCAGACAATTCAAATACCTTTTTAAATCATAGTGATAGATGGTCCAATATTCATCTCTGTAACCTTTTACCAACAACGTTTTCATGAGGCTAATTTAACCAGTACTAATGCTTAGTTAAATTTGCTATTTTGGCCATGAAACATGTTAAATACCAAGCTAATAAATTCAGAGGTGTAGATTCTTTAACAGCATGTTAAGCTAAAGACTAATGGCTATTATACAAAAATGTGACTTGCTGTCTGATATTCTTATCTGAGTCTGTTTTGTTTCAATAGCTATGCCCTTTAATACTGCTGTGCCTTTCTTTTGAAGTTCTTCTAATCTTCGTAAACACGAATCTCATTTTTCTACTTCCCTGCAGGTTACCTTTCATGACATATCATTCATGGGGGAAGTACATAATCAGGAGAAAATAGAATACAGCAGACTCATGACCAAAGAGCAGAAGGAAGGAATGTTGAGGAAGAACCAAGTCAAGTCCTCTACTTAAATGGAAAATATTCAAACCGATGACAAAGCAATGCCTAAATCTTAAGCTATCTAAGCAGAGGGGAGCCACGGGACTCAGGAGAAAGCTGAGAGGGCTAGCAAGTGTGGTAGGGAAGGTTCAAGGTTTTGTTTCCCCACGTGGTTGTAATAGAATCAGTCCTTAAGTGATATTTTTAATCCTAATAGATGCACCATTGGTTTGGAATTTACATTGTCTTTAAATCCTTGTTAGAAACATCAAAAGGAGGTTGGCGGGGAAAGAGAGGGCAGGTCACAGAGAGGACTTCCCAGGGTATACATGAGCTGGTATAAATTGCCTTGTCTAAGAGAAATGTTGCAAAATGTGGCCAGATACATTTAACGCCCAGTGGAGAGTGACTTGACATAAACTGTGAAGTATCCATAGATCACTGCTAAGACTGTATCGCAGGTCTCCATTATGCCATAATTTATACAGAGAAATCCACAAATGAAACGGCTGTAAGAGATAGCACTGAAAGGGGCCATGGACCGAGCGGGAGAACCAAGCAGCCTCCGGCCACAAGCATTCAGAAGCTCCAATGGGGAGAAACTGGGCCATGGACGGAGCGGGAGAACCAAGCAGCCTCCGGTCACATGCATTCAGAAGCTCCAATGGGGAAAAACTGGGAAGGGAAATCAGAACGTAAAAGTAAAGCAAAATGAGGCAGAGTGAGTCACTGCAAACACTGAAGAATTACATTCAATACATTAAAAATAGATAAGGAGAGAAAAAATTTTGACTATACCAAATTCAGAAAACGTTTCCATCAGGAAGTCTAGGCCAGTCATTCAGAAGGAAAGAAGAAATGAAGGAAGGAGGGAAGGAATGAAGGAAGGAAGGGAGGGAGGGAGGGAGGGAAGGAGGGAGGGGGGAAGGAAGGAATGAAGGAAGGGTGGGAAGGAGGGAGGGAGGGAGGGAGGCAGGCAGGCAATAACTATAACCACAAGGAATGTTACAGTAGAAAGAGGGCTCAGAGTACATCCCAAATCTTTCATTTTACAGATGGCAACAATGTTAGGGAGCCTCAGAGTCACTAGCATAGCACAGAGCCTTAGACTCCTGTCCTGTAGAATCCATATCCATTTTGGCCTTAGATCATGTAATTCTGCACTGTAAAGAAATTATCTGAGCACCGGTGACACATGCCTTTAATCCTAGCTACTCAGGAGGCTGAGATCTGAGGAGCACAGTTTAAAGCCAGCCCTGGCAGGAACCAGACACTTATCTCCAATTAACCACAGAAAAAAGCAGTGTTTCAATTGGTAGAATACTAGTCTTGAGCAAAAGAAGCTCGGGGACAGGGCCCAGGCTGAGTTCAAGCCCTAAAACCAGAAAAAAAACCAAAACAAACAAAAAACCATAAATACAAAACAAACAGCAATAAAACAAAGAATATGGAGCACTTAATGAACAAATGTTGGATGAATGGGGTTTAGAACCTGGGCTGTTGACCTGAAGTACTATATTTATAAACATTCATGTGCTCTAAAAACTGAACATAAACTAGATTCACTGTAGCATGGGGTTTCTTGTTATTTTAGAGGTGTATTGCCACTGACATTCTTTAAATATGCTCAGGTGTATCAGGGTATGCGGTATTACAAAGGCCCTGTGCTCTGGATATGCATGGCAGACTTGTGTTCATATTTTATTAAAAATCTGAGTCAGGTGCCAGTGGCTCACGCCTGTAATCCTAGCTACTCAGGAGGCTGAGATCTGAGGATCACGGTTCAAAGCCAGCCCAGGGAAGGAAAGTCCTTGAGACTCTTATCTCCAATAAATCAGCAGAAAACTGGAAATGGAACTGTGGCTCAAGCAGTAGAGTGCTTGCCTTGAGTGGAAGAGCGCAGGGACAGCACCAAGTCCCGAGTTCAAGCCCCGTGACCGACAAAAAATAAAATCTGGATGTTTACTAAATGTTGTCCAAATGACAAAGAGGATGGGTGAAATTATTTTTAACTGACAGGCAAATATTTTATAAAATATAAACATTTTTACTTATTCGTACTAACAAGAGCTTCCACTTTCAAAAATGAGCTTGTAATACCAATAACAAAACCATTCTGCCATTCTCCCTGGAAAACCCACCACCCTGCTAACTGAAGACAACCTCATCGGTCTACTGTGCTCACCTCACCAGCACCGCCATCACTGAAATAAATCTTCTAACCTGTCCAGTGCCTCCACTACTCCAGGAGTCCAACAGGTAGACAAGAGGAGATGAGAAGAAAATACCAAATAGGAAAACATAAACAAGCTGAGGCTTTTTCACTTTTCGTCATTGACAGCCATCTGTCTCATTTCCCTTTGCTCCCTACAAAAATGTAAAGCCAAAGAACCAAATCTCTAAAGGAGACAGATTGATGGCCAAGGTTTACTCGAGAACTCTCCAGTGTCCTACCGAACTTGGCATTTCAACTACCAAGTCTGACATTCTTGATACTTGACAAAATAGTTATATAGATCCCTGGAAATCACCTTAGGAAGTGCCTTCTGTCTACAGGACTTATTTTGCCCTACCTTGTTTAAATATTTCAAAAATGAACCGTGCCTTTTCAGTAGAAATAGCAGTTTCTCTGAACTTTGTACAGCGTTATTCATGTTACATGTTTGAAACACTTGGCATTGAGCAAGAAGGGTGAATGAAATAAAACAAAGTCAAGCTATGAAGACTGAGGAGAAATAACTGAACATAGAATGAGTCTCAGAAGGAAAAATAACATACCTGCTTTGTATGTTTTAACTATAATACATACAATAAAGGCAAAAAATAGAGAAAAATAGAGCTTAAACTTTGGTCCTTATACCCTGTCATGGTACTGGCTACAGGTACTGAGGCACATATTGAGCAAAATAGGACAGTGAATGAGAATGACCAGGTCATTTACCTCACTCTGCACCCAGGCCCCAAACAGTCTCTTTCCTTTACACTAAATTCTATATGCAATTCTGTTGTGCAGAAAAAAAAAAAGTTTCTTCTACTGAAGCGATAAGAACAAAAGTTTCAAATCAACAGAATAGCCTAGGAAAAGGATAGTTTCTGTTTAAGTCTTCTATTACAATTTTAAGGCCTATGTGGGATTTCATGGTGTGGGGGATGGGCAGAATTCTAATAGGGACAAATGTCGATATTGGACAGCTTTTGTTCTACCGCAGTGTGCCAGTCTGAGGACAGCGCGGCCAACTGACTGAAAGAAGAGCACACTTGTATATTGTCATTGTTAGATGCCTCCTAAAACATGAACAAGGACAGATGTAGACTACCCCGTGAGCAGAGTGATGAGCTCTGTCCAAATGGCAGAGGACAAAGAACAACATTATTCAACCATCTTAGGTCTGTAATTATATATTGGGGAAGTCTTCCTTCAGGACAAAGGTTTGAAATCGTGTCTTCTTACAAGGTTTCTCACTGTGAAGGTTAATTTGATGTCAATTTCCCTAGAACACATGCCCAAATATGTGCATCAAACAAGGATATTCTAGTAATTTCTATGAAAGTATTTTTGCGTGGAATTAGCATTTGAATTGGTAGACTGCTTAATGCTGACGGCACACCCTAGTCAGATGAAGGCCTAAATACACCGGAAAGGCTGCCCAGGAAGGAGAATTTCCTCACTACCTTTGAGCCAGGACTTTGGCTTTTTGAGTCTCAGGTTTGCTGCATTTTGGACTTGAAAATTACTGACTTTCCCAGTTCCCAGGTCTTCAGAACTGACAACTTTGGCGGGAGGGGGATGGGGGGGATGAGAAGGGATGGAAGGGGAAACAAAGGAGGAGGCAACAATGCTTGAAAAGAAATGTACTCATTACCTTGCCCATGTAATTGTAACTCCTCTGTATGGTATTTTCACAATTAAAAAAAAGGCAG